GGGATGGGAAGGAAAGGAGTTGCTTATAAAAGGGGAAGGAGAGAGAGGGAGAATGGGCAAGCGTGTGAACTTGAGAAGGTGCTACTTGGACTCTGTACGAGCAGCAGCAGATCATGGACCAAAATAAATAAATACAATTGAAAACAGGCACACAATAAATAAGAATGAAAGGTGGACGTGAAAGTTGACATTTCCAAAATCATAAATAGAATCATAAATAGAAAGGAAATAATATATGGAGGACTAAGGTATCCCTCCTTAAAATCACCAACAACAAGAAAAGAAAAAAAAACCCTAGGATGGTCGAGTCGAGGACAACCCACCTTGAGTCATCAAAGTCTTTTTAACGAGATCAACGAAAATTATGCACGAATTCACGAGAGAAACATCAAACTCTTTGGGCTGTTAGGGAGAGGTTTCCACACCTTTGTAAAAAATGTTTCGTTCCACTCTCCCACCAACGTGGGATCTCACAATTCACCCCTCTAGGGCCCAACGTCCTCCATGACACTTGTTCCTCATTTCAATCGAGGTGAGATCTCACACTAATTCTCATTTGTGACAGTTCAAGCCACCGTAGATATTGTTCATCATCAGCCTCACAATTTTAAAACATGTCAACTAGGGAAAGATTTTCACACCCTTTTAAGAAAAGTTTCATTCCTCTTTCCAACCGATATGGGATCTCACAATACATTCTCTTGGGGCCCAACATCCTCGTCGACACACCGCCCAGTGTTTGATTCTAATACCATTTGTAACAACCCACCGTTAGTAGATATTGTATGTTTTTACCTATGTATCATCGTCAGTCTCATGGTTTTAAACTAACGTATAGACTTTACTGTCTTGTATAGGTTGCCACCAATCTTGTAAGCCGCCATGAAATGCTTCACGGGTTGTTTTTCATTCTCCCGACTATTAATAACAACAAACTTATTTATTGAGTTAAAAATTTAAAATTAGATACGTTGAAAATTTGGTGGGATGGAATGTATCCACCAACTGCTTGGATTGCGGTGGCCGCGCAGACCACCAATTCTTTTAATAATTAAATTCATTTTACATTCTTAAAATAGTTATAATCATATGCCAACCGGTAATTGGGTCAAAGTATGTGTGAAAATGTAAAAAGTAGGTAGCTAATACTACTAATCCATAGATAAAAATAAATTTTAATTAATTAAGTTGAAATATGGTTTTACCTTAGTCAATACCCGACACATTTTTTTTGGATAATAATAAATAAAAAAACATTATGATAATTTTAATAATTCTCCCATTTAATTTAATTCCATATGGAAAAAATGGAAAACTTGACTATAATTAGTCTTTTCCGAAATACAAGGCTGATTAGAGCAAAATCCGGAGAACTTTTTGTTTTTCTCAACGACAAAACAAATTTAAATTCATGATGTTTTTGTTTTTTTTCATGTTTCCTGCGAGATTTTTAAGAATATCGTGGTCTCCTTCACAGACAGCCTTCAAAGTTTAATGGTTCCCAGCTTTTAATCTTTGTGGACTCAAAAATTCAAGTTGAGTTGCAAAGTTGAAGAACTCATGGTGTGTTCTTGAAATTTAAAACTGGTTCGGCTCTGTTCTTGAAATTTGAGTTTCTGCTTACAAAAAGTAATGATTTGTGTATGAATATTCAAAAGTGAGTCAAAAGAAGAGAGCCTTACCAGTTTTAAACGCCTCTTCCTTTCCTTTTTCTGTTTGAACAACAAAAGGCTTCGTCCAATCATCAGATTCTGCGTCTAAATCTAAGTCTCCTCCTAATTTCAACGAGTAGATATTATCATTTTTAAGATTAGGGCGACTATATTTTGATACACTTAATCCGAATTTTATTGGGTTTTATGATGGGCCAATGTCCATTAGTTTATATCAATGATATGCATATACTTATTATTTTAATTAATATTCATATAAATAAATGATAGCTTTTTATATAATATTGTGTAGAAAATATTATAGGATGAATGTGAGGGTTGGATTCTAACCTTCTATAATTGAAGCTATTAATGTTTTGATAGGTATGTTGAAGTTTAGTGCACTTATATTTAATAAGGGTGATAAGCACTACTCCAATAAGAAAATTTTAAAAATTGTATACACCAAATGGAGATTTGTATACCCATATAGTGTTTGTCACATATGCTCTAATATTTAAATCCTATGTGCGAACAAAAGGAATGAGGATTGTGATATTTACTACACTAACTTCCCTTTTCGTTTCAAGCTTTTTGAATGACGACATGTCAAGGCCTAAATTGGGCTTCGAACTAATTATGTAATTAATTTGAATCTGGATTCGATGTCTAATGGCTTTAGTATTCTCTTTCATCCCTGTGACATGGTCACCTTACCTGGGCACCTAACCCGCATTCTTCTTCATCTCCTCAGACCAACACGAGTACCTAATGACTCTGACATTTCTATTCATCTCCCACGACATGGTCACATTACCTACTTCTTACTTCTTAAGAGTGAAGACTATCCTCGTAAACCGACACGAGTACTTTCAGTATGTTTTGTCTTCACTCACATGCATTTCAAGAAAATTCTTAGGAGATCACCCAATATAAAATAACTCCAAAATAAATCACTCTTAACCATGAAGTTCTTATGATTGAAGCTTTAACAACCCAGATCCACTGCTAATAAATCACTCTCAATCCACCACTAGCAGATATTGTTCTCTTTGGGCTTTCCTTTTCGGGCTTCCTCTCAAGCTTTAAAACGCGTCTCCTAAGAAAAGGTTTCCACACCCTTATAAATGGTGGTTTGTTCTCCCCCCAACCAATGTGGGACATCACAAAAGCACCAAAAAGAAATATACATTTTGTTAGTATAAGTAGTAACTTTCATTTCCTTCAAGATTTTTTTAGTCATCATATTATCATGATCACTCCATTCAGATATAGTCTTAATTCATTTATGTACACCTCATTTACTCCATACCACAAATTAAGCTTTTAGATCGAGAACTTTAGTCTTAGACCTATCTTAAGTTGAATTTCACGGTTAACAAATAATATTTTATTTTATTTGTATTTAAATTAATAGTCACCCTTTTGTTTTTTTGAAATTGTTTTATGTACCAAGATGGAAGCAAAATAAACAACTAAAATTCAAGGAAAAAAAGTAACTTTTGAAGGCTCTGATTTGTTAAGTTAAATTAAACAAAAGGCATTTGAGTTGGACCAATTTCATTACTTTGCAATTATTAATATTGATTTTCTTTATTAGCATATTACTTTTGATTTGTTTATATATTTGATACGCTTACTTCATTTTGCACAGATCACTTTAATGCCACTCTGTTCGTATTAATATAAGATTTTTTTTTTTTTTTTGTATATAATTCATTTATATATATTTTTGTGTCGAACCAACAACCGTTCTTTTACGAGAAACTTTTAGAAGTTTCCTACAAAAACCCAAGTTGTTTTTCGTTTGTTTAATCTCTTTTACTTTACTTAATGACATTTGTAACCATTTTTACCAGAGATCTTTCTTCTACGCCCTCTAACAGCCTAAGTCTACAAAGGATAAGTTTTCAGACTCTTATAAGAAATGTTTTGTTTCCTTCTTTTAGCAGCTCAATTTGAAGGGCAGCTGGAACGGAGGGGATGGTGGATGATAAGAGGAAAAGTAAAAGAAGGCAAAGAAAAGCAAGATGGATGTACGAATGAGCAGTGAAAAAGTGGTAAAACAAAGACAATCACCGTATCATATTAAACCCATGAATGAATGACGCATCAAAACTGGTCCTCTAAAGCCCAACCCCCCCAACTGCAACTCCCAATATGTGTATCTCAATGGACAGAAACCAACACCTTTTTCCCCATTTTCGCACCACAAAAGCTCCTCCTGCATTTCTTACACCATATTTTCCCATGTGATATACCTCTGAATTTGTGCCCTTTTCCCCTTCCTTTGGAATTTAAAGTTAAAGCCATCGCCATCGCCATCGCCATCCTCCTTCCTTAACTCCCTCTGCTTGCTACCCTCTTCAACTTTTTGTATCAACTAAAACATTGATTAAGCTTGGAGTTATATTACACCAAACACAACCACCCCTGCTTTAGTTACTTACAATGTTTCATTTAACTAAATTAGGTAAAGAAACATCTTTATGGGCAGAGGGTATGCCGCCCACATGCGACCAAGTATGGACGACCCCAACTTTGTGGTTTGCTATCAACTCCCAACCACTCCTTTTATAAAATTTGGGAATAACAGGGGAATCTTATAAGGGTTGTTGTACTCCAACTCTTGCAGCTTTTTACAATTAAACTACATAATTAAAAATCTAAGAAAAGGTTTTATAAATTTTTATGTGCATGGAGTATTTAACAAGTAATCTCCCAGTTTTGGTCAATGAGCTTTTTAGATTGAGCAAATATTCTGCGCTTTTTAAAGTTGGAAATTTCTTGGTATTTAATTAATTGGAATCTCTCTCATTTTCTATCATTCTATACAATAATGGGTTCATAATTAACATGAAACAATAAAGTCTTGACTTTAGGATAAAATTATTCCCTGATAATCTAATAATTCATTTCTGAAATTACAGTTTAGCCCTCTGGTTTCCAGCTTTTTACATCCATGGCGTCGACACTATTGGATCATGTGGAAAGTACTGTTTTTTTTTTAAAAATGAATTTAATTAATAAGAATTGGGTGTGACGTTAGTGTCGAATTAATTGTCGCCACGTGTCGTCGTGTGGGACCCACTTTGGTTGTTTCTTCACCACGAAGCTAAATATCTATCACAAATGTCATGGACCCACTGGCTTACACACTTCCACTACAAGGAGGCTTAGAGAGCTAATTTCAGTTAATGACGGAAATGCCCTTCATTGTTAAGTTAATTTTCGGAAATACCCCATGAGTTTTGCAATAAATACACGGCCTCTACGCTGCAATTCTTCCCTTTCCTCCTCCCTCTCTCCTCCTTTATTTTGTTGAGCAAATTCTTTTTCCCTGTCGTCATGTTGTCCACTTTTCCAACCGGTTCTTCGTACGAGGCCATGCTGGAAAACCCATTTCCGGCTTTCGACAACGCCTCGACCCCGTGGGAATGCCACGACCACGACCATGACCATGAATTCTTGCCGGCTTTGTTCCAGATTCCGGAACAAACCGGATTGGACATATTCCACTCCTCAAAACCGGTGATTTCAAGTTCGAGTTCTGAAAACCGGGATGAACCGGAGGAAAAGATCGAGGTGATAGACGAGAGAAAACGGCGGCGGATAGAGTCGAACCGGGAGTCGGCAAGGCGGTCCCGGATGCGAAAACAGAAGCACTTAGAAAACTTAAGCAACTTGTTGAACAAGCTGAGAGTTGAAAACAAAGAGCTTTCAAAGCGGTTCCGGTTCACGATGTACCAGGCGAACCGTATACGGTCGGAAAACGACAATCTCCTGACAGAACACGAAATTCTGCGGCGGAAACTTTTGTACAGCCGAGGTGAATTAATTTCCCGACAATTCCCACGACGACAATTCGGTTACAACGAACAACAACAAATCCCCGCGCCGACTCTCTCCCAATCGCAATACATCCTTTATAACAACAAAAACTTCATTAATTGCTAAAACCGACCAGACCATTATAAGAACGACCAAATTCTGGCCACTTCTCCGTGTCTCTCTGGTGTGTATAAACTAAAAGAAAGCTATATATTGGTGGGGTTTTACGCTGTTTTTTAAGCAACTAGTAGTGTGTAAAACAAGATCGGCGACTAGCTTTATTACTAATGCCTATGCATCAGTTTTTTCTTCTTTCTCCTTTCCTTTCCTTTTCTTTTCTTTTATTTTCTTTTATAGCAAATCAAACTTGGAGATACATGGGACCAACCATTGTATCAAATATATATATATATTTTTTAATTTATTTGAGGAACTTAAGACAAACTTAGTCTTATTCATGATAATCACTTATCTACAATTTAATATCTCATGCTAATCTGGGATTAATTCAACTTTATTAAGATTAAAGTTTCCATTCCTCCCATTTTTTATATGTTGTTATAGATAAAATAATTTTAAATTTTTTTAAACACGGATCTAAATTTTAGTTGTATTAAAAAAAAAAAAAGAAATCTTAAGAAAATGACAATATTCTAAAGTGTTGGCTATGACTCGAAATTTTATTGCGTATAGATTTAATATCATTTTCTAACTTTAATTCGAACCTTTTATCTTTTTAATCTACGACACACTTATTTTTACCCCATCGATTTTTAATATTATTTGCTATTAATTATATATAATTTGGTCCGCACAAATTGTTACTTTTGAAATTCGTGAATAATTTAAGAGACTTTCGAATTAAATTCGTATGCAAAAACAAGAGGTTGTTTTCTTCTTTTTTGTTTGTTTTTTTTTTTCCTTTTAATAGTCACTTTCCTGAAAATAAAAGTATGCTATGATGTGTGTGTATAGTTTGAAAAAGATATGAAAAACAAAATTATAATTATTTTGCTTTCAACATTTTATTTGTTTTTTTTAATTGAACAGTACTAATAATTTTTTTTCTGCTCATTAAAAAAAATAGTTATCTTTCTCGCACTACCTACCTTTCTCACTGTCGCCCAACAACTAAGTCCACTACTCTTGTAACACCGCTACTAAATATTGTCTATTTTGATCCGTTACGTATCACCATCAATTTTATGATTTTAAAACGCGTTTCCACACCCTTATAAGAAATGTTTCGTTCTTCTCATCCAACTGAGGTAGGATCTCACATACAATAACAACAATCGTAGTTAATGAAATTTTATGGAAGAAAAAAGGAGTACGATCGCCCACATCATATTAATATTAACGTTCATTATCTTCCTATTGTTCTTCTGTAATAAGGCACTTTCTTGCTCTAATTTATATTACCTCCTTTACCACCCCTCAATTATTGAAGCAATCTAAAAATGATTGGTAAGCCTCATCATTTTTCCATTTAACTGGGCCCTTTTGTTTTTGTTTTTGTTTTTGTTTTCCAAGAACAAGAACAGCATCTTTCCCAGATTAACCATTCGATGATGCAATGAAATCCAAATTTGAAAGCTGTATTTGACCCACGTGACGCTGCATGATTGGGCCTGTCTTTGCGAGGCCCAGCCCATTAAGGATAATTAAACATTTAAGACATTAATAATTATGATTGAACACACTTCTACTTCCAACTAAGCACACGAATGCTATCTCGACCAAGCTTGAACACACTCGCATCTCTAATTTCACAAGAATCAAAGCTCTTACAAAGAAACCCAAACAACTTACTCTTCTTCGCCACAAGTTTCCCTTTTTTTACACTCTTAGTACACTCCTTATACGCCTCAAGAAAAGGGTCCTCCTCGCACCGGCTTCCCTTGGTGGAGGCGTTTCTAAGAGAGCATGGCTGCACCCGGCACGGCGGCGGCGGAGGAATCTTACCAACGTCATCAAATTCAGAATCTTCATGAACAGAGTGTAAGGGCAGAGGTTGAACATCTTGGAAGCAGATTTTCTTGGAAATCCCAGGCTTTTCCTCCCATGAAAAGGGAACGTTTCCTTTAGAATACAGTTTTTTGTGGCTCATAATGCAATTGGGGCACTCAGAGAAGCCTCACATATAGTTCTTATAAGGAGGAACAACAAAGCTTTGGATAAGAAGTGGGTTTTGAGATGATGTCTTTATAATTAATATTCTAAGTAATGGGGCGTCCAATTTTGTTCCTTTTCAATAACTGAATCACTTTTCTGCCATCCCAAAGAGATAAACTATTAATGTTCATTTTATTTTATTTTAGTAATATATGTTTTTTTTTTTCATCCTATTTTTTGTCAAATTATTGAAATGTTTGTTTTATTTATAGTAATTGATATTTAACTTCGCTTAATTGCTCAACTTTCTACTATTCTTGCACTAAAATGGCTTCTTTTCTTGGATTTTAAGGTACATCTTTACTTACATTAACTAATAATCAACAATAATTTGGTTCGGTAGTGTTTTTTTTTTTTTTTGTTGTAGGGTGAAGATGAAGAGTTTCTAAAAAAATTAATAGATAATTTTTTAAAAAAATGACATTTTCTATTTTGAATTAATGATTTTTCAAACTTGGTTCAATTGACAAATTAAATACTAATGAGAATTAGTCAATTTATGTTTATAAAAATAAATAAAATAAAAAAATTTGAAGGGATTCAGGTTTGACTATGCTTAATATTATTATAAGACGAAAATGGAGAAAACTTTCTTAAATACAAAGCGTTGCCATTAAATTAGGAATATAATAGGGTTGATTAAAAAATAAAAAAGGGGTTTAATTGGAAACCTAATGTTTGAAGCATTGTTTTCCAATTTGATTATTAATGGATTAAATTATAAAATACATATCTAAGTAAAAGGAAGGAGTTGGAAGGTAATGGGAAGTCCAGGTTAATGGTAGGTGGGTGCATTAATGGAAAGATTATGATATAAAATAATATATTACGTTGAAACCAAGGTGGGGCAAGGGATCGCTTTCGGGACAATTATTCAAAGAATTAGGCTAAGAATCATTCATGGGTTGGCGGCTGTTTGGTTGAATGTTTGAAGGGGAATTAGTTAGTGACAGCTGAGAGAGGTCATCGGTTTTAGCGTAAGAAGCTACGCAATGTCGCGTAAGGCCCTGGTGGCTTGGACGTGGAGGCAGGCCTGGTGTGATGGTATGGCATGGCATGGTGCTAGTGGGTGATGGAAAGTGTTTGACTGCGATGGTATGGCCCATCTCGATGGCCACACAAGCATGAGGCGGATAGCACATCCGTAATAGCATGAGCAATTATGATTCAAATTCACAAAACTGTAGATTACCAACAAACCCACATGAAGGGGAAGAAAACAACAGTGAATTCCCTATTGGAGTTATAATTAAGCACAAGTCAATATACTTTTGAAAATCAAACAAACAAAGAAATCAGTTGGAAAAAAGAGGTAAAAAAAAAAAAAATATTAGAGTGAGCTGGCAAAGCAAATGGAACAAAATTAAAAAGAAAAAGGTCCCGACTTCAATCCATACTTACTCCCATTTTTCTCAATCTTTTCCTGTTCACCATTTTTTGCATTCCTTCTTTACCAATCTGCCTTTTACTCTCAACTGCTGTTCGACAGGGAACAGAACGTCGCCTTTTGCAACACACCGGTAGGCGATGATCCGAGCTGACCACCATCCCATCCTTCAGCCAACAGGTTCAGTGATGGTGGCACTTTACTTCCCTTCACACAGCTGTTGGCGTTGGTCAATGCCTCTCCTAAAGGACCCCCCATTGAACCTCCCCACGACATTTCCTTTTGAGCTACCTCACCATCATTCCTGCTTACCCCCAAATTTATCTCCATTGGCTCAACCTCCTCCTTTGACAACCTGAGTGGGGATTGAACTAGCTTCTCCTGGGTTGGTGAGGATGACGATGACGAGAAATTAGACATTGGTATCGACATGGACAGCTGTGTCCAATCCGACTTAAATTCTTCCGGCCAGGTCATGACCGAACGACTCGACTGATCCTTGGGCCAGTCTTCACAGAATTGTCTAAGTGGATGTTGGTCTTGGTCTTGAGTTTCCTGGTCGTTGAAGATTAGGAACGAGTCGAAGTTCTTGGGATTGGCATACGAGCCCCTTTGTGATGGATTTAGGAGGGAATCAGTGGAAACAAGTCCAAATTCAGATTGTGTGGATTCTCCTAATGAAATCTCATGTTTTGCACCAGATTTATCACTAGATGACATAAGGTTGACGGTGGAAGACATCATTGAGAGGCCCCCAGGCTCCTGGATTCTGCTACACACAGTTTCTTTGTTTAGCAACCTAGAAATGCATATAAAGTATGCAAAACTGAGTTGATGATGGCCAAAGGCCCAGTAATAGGGATACAATTTTAATCCACAAATGCTTTCAACACAACTATTGTATTCAAAGTAACTGAAAATGATAGCAATATGATGATATCTTCCTGGAAAAGGAATCCTAAGCCTCAACTAAGATGATAAGTCACTATCACTAAAGCAAAGATGAAGCCATGGGGTCTACCATTAACCTTAAAGCAGAGTAAAAGGAAGTTGGGAGTTTGAATTTAAGTTTGTTCTAGTCATTCTAATCAAGATCAAACACACAGAAACAAAGCTCTTGTTGTGGGGAGTGAAGAAACGTTACCTATTGACGGGGGCGTCAACACCAGGATTGGATGCAGCACCAGCACCGGGGTGCAAACTCTTGAGCTGGTGTTGGTGTTGAATGATAGGGAGGTTATTGTTGGATGCACCGCCGCTGGGCATCACCGTTGATGACAACGATGTAGTCATCGTTGCCACCATGGCTGTTGGATTCGTGGTCCCAGGGACGGAATGGCCAGTCTGGCCTTCCACAGGCTTTCTTGAACGATGGCGGCCCCTGTTTATATGCCTTTCACAATACTTCTGATCAGCAACGGCATCTCTAGAGCACCGCCATTTCTTTCCATCGGTTCGACGACATCTTCCCGGTTCAGGATCAGTGTTGCCAGAGAAACCCAAATGAAAAGAACCCCACCCTACAGTACATTGATGAAGAAAGACACCAAAGATATAGAGAATG